AAATTGGCTGGGCTTGGTGGCTCAGCCTGTAATCCCAGCACTTTGGGAGGCCAAGGCGAGTAGACTGCCTGAGTCTGCGGTTTCGAGACCAGCCCAGGGAACTTGGCACGACCTTGTCTCTACAATAAATAAAAATTTAGCCAGATATAGTAGCACACGTCTGTAGTTCCGGCTACTTGGAAGGCTGAGGTGGAAGAATCAAATCACCTGAGCCCAGCAGGTTGAAGCCGTGGGTGGTAGCTGTGACCATGCCATTGCACCCTAGCCTGGGTGACAGAGTGAGACTCCAACTCAAAAAAAAAAAAAAGTCAAGTCGACAGGGATAAGTAGATGACTAACTTCACTTATCAAGTAGGAAACCCCATTACTTTAATGCCCATGATTATGCCATTGAAGTCTTCTGAGATATTGAACAGACACACACCAAAGAATTACCCTTTCTCAAGTAAAAATATAGAAAACTGTACATGAATGGTCTCGCCAGGTGATCAAGAAGGCAAATCCTATGGCCTAAAGAACTTGAAACCCCAGGTTTTGAACACTATAGCCATTCATTACATATAAAATTTGCTTCTTTTCTTCATTTCTGTTTTACTACCTCACACTGATCACTGAAAACTGAAGACTGCTGTTCTTTCTTAGGACCTCTTCCTTAACAGCACATTAAAAGTAGAAAGACAGCCTGGGCAATTTGGTGAGACCTCATCTCTACAATAAATCACAAAAACTAGCTGGGTGTGGTGGTGTGTGTCTGTAGTTCCAACCACTTGGAAGGCTGGGGTAGAAGGATCACCTAAGCCCAGCAGGTCAAGAGTGAGACTCCAACTCCAAAAAAAATAAATAAATAAAACTGCTATGAGAAAACTAACCCATGCAAAAAGTATACATAAACCACAGTCACAAGAAGACACAGGACTGTTTTACACCTGGTTAATTTTCTGCAGTCACTTTAGTGCTCCAAGGCAAAGGTATTGAGAATATCGGAATTTTCTTTTTTTGTTTCCTTTTTTTTTTTTTGAATTGGAGTCTCACTCTGTTGCCCAGACTGGAGTGCAGTGGCCGCTCCCAGCCACCGCAGCCTCGACCTGCTGGGCTCTGGTGATTCTTCCGCCTCAGTCTTCCGAGTAGCCGGAATTACAGGCGCACGCTACCACGCCCGGCTAATTTTTTGATTTTATTGTAGAGATGAGGTCTCGCCTGCCCAGGCGGGTCTCGAACCCGCGGGGTTCAGGCAATCCACTCACCTCAGCCTCCCAAAGGTGCGGGATTACAGGCTGAGCAACCAAGCCCGGCTGAACATTGGGATTTTCAAGGAGATATGTTGGTACTGGTCCTGAACCTGTTGTTATTGAGCTATTCAATTCTCAATGCCCAAATTCCTGCCTGTTAACTGCCTTTGAACAGCCCTCAAAATATATATTTTTCAACTTGAAAAAAGTTAGAAAGTTTTTTTTTTTGGAGTCTCACTCTTGTCACCCAAGCTGGAGTATAGTGGCACACTCCTGGCCATCAGTCTTGACCTGCTGGGCTCAGGTGATCCTTCCACCTCAGCCTTCCAAGTAGCCAGAAAACTACAGGCACGTGCCACCATGTCTGGCTAATTTTCTTTTTCTTTTTTTTTTTTTTAGTTGAAGTCTCACTTCTTTGCCCAGGCTGCAGTGCAGTGGCACACACGCTCACGGCCACCCCAGTGTCGACCTACAGGCCTCCGAGGATCCTTCCACTTCAGCCTTCCAAGTAGCCAGAACTACAGGAGGGCGCTATCACACCCAGCTAATTTTTTATTTATTGTAGAGACGAGGTCTTGCCAAGTTGCCTGGTTTCAATACCTGTGGGCTCAGGCAATCCACTTGCCTTGGTCTCCCTAAATGCTGGGATTACAGGCTGAGCCACCAGGCCCCGCCCAAAAATAAAGTTTTATTACAACACAGCCTTGCTAAACCAGGCTCGGTGGCTCAGCCTGTAATCCCGCACCTTGGGAGGCTGAGGTGAGTGGATTGCCTGAGCCCACAGGTTCGAGACCCGCCTGGGTAACTTGGCAAGACATCATCTCTACAATACATCAAAAAACTAGCCGCACGCCTTTAGTTCCAGCTACTTGGAAGGCTGAGGCGGAAGGATCATCGGAGTCCAGCAAGTTAAGGATATGGTGGCCGGAAGCAGCCACTGCACTCCAGTCTGGGTGACAGAGTGAGACTGCAACTCAAAACAAAAAACAACAAAAAAAACAAGAAACCGATTTTGACTGGGCATGGTGGCTCACACCTGTAATCCCAGCACTTTGGGAGGTTAGAGAATCGCCTGAGCTCAAGAGTTTGAGACCAGCCTGGGCAATATAGTGAGTGCCTGTACAAAAAGTACAAAAAATTTGTCAGGCGTGGTAGCTTGAGCCTCAGAGGTTGAGGCTGCAGGTAAGGCGGGGCTGCACAGCTGCACTCCAGCCTGGGTGACAGTGAGACACCTTGACTCAAAAAGAAAAAAACAAGAAAATAATTTTATTTACTTTTTATCAATTTATATAGCCACATGTTGCACATAGCTACTGCATAGCAGAGCTCTAGAAATAAGGGCTGGGCTCTAGATTTCAAGAATTCACAAATTCTGATACTCTCCACATGTTTTTGAAACAGTTTAAGTCTTCCCACCACCTGAGCTGTAGAAATTTAGTTAGGACCTACGTGATAAAATAACGACATACGTTACTTATTATCTTGGTGTCATACAGGGCTGCCAGACATCTGAGGTCCTAATGGAGGCAGGTTTCTCATTCAGATGAAAGAATCTAGGATTCAAAAAGGTAAAGAATGACAGGCTGTCCCTAAGATAGGGTCCTTTCCTAATAGAAAAAGACTGTTTGCACCCAGACTAGGACCAACTCCACAGGAAGAGTTATTCCACTCTCAGAGGTACAAAACACTGCCCAAAGGTACTTGTCCACAACACCAAAACAGCGCTTGGAGCCAAACCTCAACAAAGACAGTGCTTACTCTTCCAACAGTGTAACACCATCACAGGCATCACACTAGCCTGGACAGCTGACAACCATTGGATGATTCTGCAACAGTTTTCTCATTATTTGTTTTACATACCTACATACCCAGGTACAAGACATGAATACAGGTACCACTATCAGTTGAATGCTGACTGCAAAACAGGTGTTGAGGCACTAATGCAGACTCTGCTGCCAAACCCTTTAAACAAATGGGAACCCCTTTCCTGAGTAGCTTTGTGCAACATTCAGAGAGTTCCTACCATATGCCAGGATTCCTGTGATGTGAATCTAGCAGTGAACAACACAACATACACTATCCTTCCCTTGGAGGAAGGTATAAATATTGGTAAACTCACCTCCCGATTGTTTCTTGATGAATATCAACCAGCCAACAGGACTGGCACAGAGGAGGTGGTCAATGTTGGAAAAAATAGGGATATGTACCTGAAAACTCCACATGCAAACTGTCACCTGCCACTATTCCTTTCTTCAGATGGATGAAGGAAGCCCTACTTTCACGTCATCCTGAAAAGGAAGTCAAGCAAATAAGCTTTAGTGACTTACTTACAGAATGGTGACTGTAATAAGTAACAATACATTGAGTATCTAAAAGTTGCTAGAAGAGATATTAAATGTTTTTGCCAAAAAATGATAAGTATATGAGGTGATAGATTTGTTAATTAACATGATTAAATAATTCAACAATAAACATCATATATAACACTGGCTAGGAACAAAGGCTCACACCTATAATCCCAGTACTTTTGGAGGCCAAGATGGGAGAACCACTTAAACCCAAGAGTTTGAGACCAGCCTGGGCAACATAGTGAGACCTTGTCTCTGCAAAAAATTAGCTGGGCACAGCAGCCTGTGCTTGTAGTCCCTGCTACTCAGGAGGCTGAGGTGGAAGGATTGCCTGAGACTAGGAGGTTGAGGCTGCAGTGAGCCTAGGTAACAATGTGAGATTCTATCTCAAAATAGAAAAAAAAAAAAATCACATTGTGCCCCATAAATATATAATATATATATAATTATTGTCAATAAAGAAAAAATGGGCCAGGCTCAGTGGCTCAGTCTATAATCCCAGCACTTCAGGAGGCTGAGGTGAGTGGATTGTCTGAACTTGCGGGTTCAAGATCAGCCCAGGCAACTTAGCAAGACCTTGTCTCTAGACTAAATAAAAAATTAGCTGGGTGTGGTAGGGCGCACCTATAGTTCTGGCTACTTGGAAGGCTAAGGCGGAAGGACTACCAGAGCCCAGCAGTTCAACACAGGAGTGGTCCTGAGTGTGCCACTGCACTCCAGCCTGGACAACAGAGTAAGATTCCAACTCAAAAAAGAAAAGAAAAAATGGAAGGCAAAGGTGGATCACTTGAGGCCAACAGCCCGACACCAGCCTGGGTCACATAATGAGCCTTGCCTCTACAAAAACTTTTATATGTATTTTTAAAAACGAATTAATAAGGGTAGATTTATTAAAGGGAAGATACGTTGTGAAGGGTGCAATGGGCCAGAGAGCAGTAAGCCTCTACAAAAAATTTTTAAAAATTAGTAAGGCGTGTTGGCTTATGCCTGTAGTCCCAGCCCTTGGGGAGGCTGAGATGAGAGGACTGCTTAAGTCTAGGAATTCCAGGCTGTAGTGAGTTATCATCTTGGCACTGCAGTCTAGCCTGGAGACCCTGTTTCTTTTTTTTCTTTGAGTTGGAGTCTTACTCTGTCGCCCAGACTGGAGTGCAGTGGCCACTCCCGGCCACCGCCGCCTCGACCTGCCAGGCTCCGGCGATCCTTCCGCCTCAGCCTTCCAAGTAGCTGGAACTACAGGCGCGCGCTACCACACCCGGCTAATTTTTTTTTTTTAATTGTAGAGATGAGGTCTCGCCACGTTGCCCAGGTGGGTTGTGAAGAGACCCTGTTTCAAAGAAAAAAAAAAGATAAGCAGCACGAATTTCAATGTTCAGCACCCCTAACTCAGCAGCTAAGTCCCCTTATCCTTAGAGATAGAAACAAGATGCTATCTGCCATTTATGATTTACTCTAGTTTCTATATACTCAATTATTATTTTGTTTTCCATCATCTGCCTTTTTCCTGCCTATGAGTATCATAAAGCTAATCTTCTTCCAAGCCCTACAGATATAACTAGTCTTAAGACCCCATATGTAAAGGGCTATTCACAGTTATCAATTGGGGCGTTCACATAAACCACACAACATTTAGCTCAGAGTCTTTTCAGAGAAAGCCAGCTGATGGAACAAAATAAGCTTTGATAAACAACTACCCTGCCCCCGAACATCTTCAACAGTTCCCTCCTGCGGAAATTAGGATGTCATTTTTCACAGAAGCAGCAACTAAGAGGGATCTCGGCCGGGCTCGGTGGCTCAGTCTGTAATCCCAGCATTTTGGGAGACCGAGGCAAGTGGACTGCCTGAACCCAGCAGGTCTAGGCTGCGGTGGCCGGGTGGCTGGGAGCGTGCCACTGCACTCCAGTCTGGGCGACAGAGTGAGACTCCCAACTCAAATAAAAAAAAAAGAGGCACTGTTTGTCACAAAATTGGCATTCCAAAACAAAATCACTACAAAGCAGATTCAACGTTTACTACTTAATGGGGCAACAATTCAGTGCATTCCTGAAAATCTTGGAGAAACTATCGCAGGCCAGGCAAGGCTAGAGGATTGCCTGAGCCCGCGGGTTTGAGACCAGCCTGGACAACATGGTGAGACCTCATCTCTACAATAAATAAAGCCTGCCAATTGCACTCCAGCCTGAACGGTGGAGTGAGACTCCAACTCAAAAAAAACAAAAAACCAAACAAACAAACAAAAAAACACAAATATACTGTCAGCCCAAAGCAGAAATGAGTATGGTTTAGAGGTAGGTAGGCCTGGTCCCCAGAGTCCCTTAATTGATATTTTTATATTTTATTAAAAAGAATGTTCATAATTTTTAGGCAAATTCACATCACTATTTCCATAACAGGGCATTCCATAGACACCATAGCTATGAAATCCTTCTACAAAGGGATCATAACTAGGCTTTGCAGTAGGGGAATAAGAGCCATGTACTTTGATTTCAGGGAAATTAGCAAAGATTCCATCGACTTCCTTCTTGTATTAGGCCCCTTTTGAGCACTTGGTAAGAAAAAAAATTTTTGCCAGGCTTGGTGGCTCAGCCTGTAATCCCACGCTTTGGGAGGCTGAGGTGAGTGGATTGCCAAAGCCCGCGGGTTCGAGACCTGCCTGGGCAACTTGGAGAGACCTCATCTCTACAATAAATAAATTAAAAAACCCAGCCGGGCATGGTAGAGCATGCCTGTAATTCCGGCTACTTGGGAGTGGCCACTGCACTCCAGTCTGGGTGACAAAGTGAGACTCCAACTCAAAAAAAAAAAGAAAAAGAAAAAAAAAATTTTAAGTGTCACTTTTGACCTTTACTTTTCCACCTCTCTCTGGCTTTATTTTTATTTTGTTTCCAAGGTGTGATTCAAGTAACCAGCCAAACTTGTTGGACCAGAACCTCCCAGGAAGGTCTGGATTTGGAGGTTTCTCTCTGTAAATCATGCTCTGGCAGATTTAACCTTAATGAAGAAGCAACTATGCTGGCATCCTGGTATAGTCGACACAGAGTTGGCACGAACCAGACCCAGAATGCCAACCAGCTATACTGGCTGCTGTTCTCCCAGCAGAGTAACACTTGCCTAGGTACAAGGCAACCTAGGCAGCTGCCTACAGCTGGAACCAAGGAGGCCAAAGGGATTCCACTCACCTGGAGTTGCATCTGCCACAGCTGGCCATTCTGGAAACAAAGCACACCAGGTTAGTCAACCAACAGTTAGTGAACACGTGTGAAGCTCAAAAACCCCTTAACTTTGTGAGGTCTGAGCCACAAAAACTATAGCAGGCAATAAAACCAATAGCTTATTCTTGGTTAGCTTTCTTTCCACAGTTCTCATTTGTTTCTTATGTACCACAGCAATCCAAAAGTAGAAAATGAATGGTCTATTCAACAATCACCAAGAAGCTTGGCTCTGTCTTCTAACAGTCAAATGACACTAGGCAAGTAGAGTAACCTCTCTGTATCTCAATCTTCTCATTTGTAGAATGAGGGTATTATTAATGGTACTCTATACATGGGGTGGTTGGGAGGCTTACATGGAATGTAAGTTAAACCCGCAGATGCTATTTGGCATACACTCAGTAAACACTTGAGAAGCTATACATTCCAGGAAAGATGATGATGAATTAGAGTGAGTAGAAAAGGAAAAATTCAGCTGGGCTCCGTGGCTCAGCCTGTAATCCCGTGCTTACAGGCTGAGTGGATTGCCTGAGTCCGCAGGTTCGAGACCCATCTGGGCAGCGAGACCTCATCTCTACAATAAATCAAAAAATCAGCTGGGTGTGGTAGCACTTGCCTGTAATTCCGGCTACTTGGAAGACTGAGGCGGAAGGATCGCCAGAGCCCAGCAGGTTGAGGCTGCAGTGGCCGGGAGCAGCCACTGCACTCTAGTCTGGGCGACAGAGTGAGACTCCAACTCAAAAAAAAAAAAAAAGGAAAAGCTATCCAATGAGAAAAGCATGGGGAAAATGGGAAAGTCTCTAGATAGAGGAGGGCCTCCAATATGGGACTTCTTGAAAGACAATTTAAAAAACAGCACCTAGAAAAATAATTGCAGTAAAAGGTGTGAGGGGAGTTGGAAGCAGTTCGGTTGTCATTCCCACCAAAAACAGTAACTGCTCAAAAGCAATAACCAAAATATCTGTAAAAGTGTTAATAAACTTTCCTATACTCTAGCCACAATTTATATTAGACTGAGTATACCTTTTTTTTAGCCAACCTCAAATTTCACTGTTTCCTCCAATTAATTTAGAGGAACAGGAAAATGAATAGAGAAGGTTCACTTTTCGTCGGGTATAAAAACCAATCTAAAAATACCCCGCCCTTTTTAGGGGGCTTGGGTGGAAGAGGCCGAACCTGTTCTAGCCGGACACTTGTTCCTCACAAACCTTCCCAAGTCCCTGCCCCTGGCGCCAGGAGAATGAGGTTCTAGGTGACTTCCTCGGGGGCAGAACGGATGGAAGCAAACAGGGAAGGACTCTGGGGCTACGGTTTCCCAGGTCTTTCTAGGCTCGGGGTCGCAAGGGAACGAACCCCCATTTCCTCCCGTGCCCCTGCAGAAGCCGCCCCACACTGCCTCTCTTTCCAGGCCCGTCACCCTCCACAGCCTCTCCCCGCAGAGCCTCCACTCACCCGCACGTGCTCGGAGCTCAGCGGAGCCAACCGGCCCGGGCCGAGGCCGCAGGGGAAAGGGCGGCCGGGAGCCGAGGGGGCTCCGCCCCGGGGCGGCCGCCAGGCGGGGCTTCGGTAGGCGGGCTCCACCGGAGCCCCGCCCAGGAAAGGCGGGGTTTGGGGGGAAGGAAAACGCGAGGGCGGTGGTGGAAGTAGGCGTCTTCCGCGCTGGGGAGGAGAGGCTGGGGGCTGAGCGATGGCTACGTTTTCTGGACTGCAACCCGTGTCTTACGAGTAGAAGGGGCCCTAGGTTCGGAGCTGCTAAAGAGAGGAGCTGGTGTGTCCTGGGGGCCGGGCTTCCTTCCTGCCCGCGCCCAGCGGCCCCGGGACGCTGGCTTCTCTCGCACGTGTGGCGCATTTCGGTTGCTGCAGGCCCATCCTCCCACGCTTTGGGCCTCCCACCAGCTCCGCTTCCTGGCTCGCTGCGGCGGCGCTGTCACTCGGCTGATGGATCGCCTACCCACACAGGTCACCTTGGTCCGGTCCTCGGGATCTCTCCAGAGGTTTTTAGTAGGTTAGGCCAGTCACTCCTACCGCCTCACTCTGCAGGACCGCATCCCCGGTGCCCAGCAGTGGGATCCTTTGCTGAGCCGCAGCAGCTCAGAACACTGGCTTTCCCTGTTCGACTTGCCTTGCACTGTGGCACAACCAGCCAGAGTCCTTGGTCTGGACAGACTGCCTGCCTGGTTACCAGGATTTCTTCTCAATGCTAAAGCTTCCTTCCCTCATTAGCTAGAGTCAGTGATTCTGTCCTGCTAAACAGATGTGGAAGCTGGGGCCCAGAGGGAAGACTTACCAGCAGTAATTCCTAAATCCATTCTGTAGTGTCTCAAATTCTAGAGCTCCTTCTTTTTTTTTTGAGTTGGAGTCTCACTCGGTCGCCCAGACTGGAGTGCAGTGGCCACCCCCTGCCACCGCAGCCTCGCCTGCTGGGCTCCGGCGATCCTTCCGCCTCAGCCTTCCGAGTAGCCGGAATTACAGGTGCGCGCTACCACGCCCGGCTGATTTTTTTTTTTTTTTTATTGTAGAGATGAGGTCTCGCTGCTCAGGCGGGTCTCGCCGGCTCAGGCAATCCACTCACCTCAGCCTCCCAAAGGCGCGGGATTACAGGCTGAGCCACCGAGCCCGGCTGAGCTCCTTCTTTCTGACTCTCTCCCGGTACCCCCTCGCAATTCTGGGACTCTGATGATCTAGTGCACTTGGCATCATTGCCAGGTAGACCCCTGGGAATCAGCCACTGCCCTTGGCACCTGCTAACATGTCTTATTATCTGTTTCCTCGGCTCTTTTTTTTTTTTTGGTTTGGTTGTTTTTTGAGTCAGTCTCACTCTGTCGTCCAGGCTGAAGTGCAGTGGCACTTCATGGTTACCACAGCCTCTACCTACTGGACTCAGGAGATCCTGCCACCTCAGCCTTCCAAGTAGCTGGAACTACAAGTGTGCCACCATGCCAGACTGATTTTTTTTTTTTGACTTGGCATCTCACTCCATCGCCCATGCTGGCTTGCAGTGACATGCTCACTGCCACCCCAGCATCAACCTGTTGGGTTCTGGCGATCCTTCCACCTCAACCTTCCAAGTAGCCAGGAGTACAGACACGCACTACCACACCTGGCTAATTTTTGATTTATTGTAGAGACAAGGTCTCACCCACTTGCCCACGCTGATCTCGAATCTGCGGGCTCAGGCAATCCATTCGCCTTGGCCTCCCAAAGTGCTGAGATTACAGACTGAGCCACCGAGCCCGGCCATTTTATTTATTTATTTATTTATTTTTGAGTCAGTCTCACTCTGTCACCCAGGCTGGAGTGCAGTGGCATGCTCACAGCCAGTACAGCCTTGACCTGTTGGGCTCAAGTGATCCTTCCTCCTCAGCCTTTCAAATAACTGGAACTACAGGCGCGCACCAATGCATCTGGCTAGTTTTTTATTTATTGTAGAGACAGGTCTGGCCAAGTTGTCCAGGCTGGTTCAGCACTTTCATAACCAGAAAAAAATGTGTTTCCAGTGCCCCCCAACTCTCTTCTGAAAAAACCTAGAGCCTTGACTTGATTGCAGCAAGAGACCCTATAGGGCCAAAAAGCCACTGGAAAAGAATGCTAAAGCACAAATCCCCCCCAGTTTTGATGGAGCTGGACACAGGCTCTGGTTGGGAATAGGCATACATAAATGCAGTAATTTAAAAAGTCACATGAGCCGGGCTTGGTGGCTCAGCCTGTAATCCCAGCGCTTTGGGAGGCTGAGGTGAGTGGATTGCCTGAGTCCATGGGTTCGAGACCCGCCTGGGCAATTTGGCAAGACCTCTACAATAAATAAAAAAATTAGCCAGGCGTGGTAGCACGCACCTGTAGTTCCAGCTACTTGGAAGGCTGAGGTGGAAGGATCACCGAAGCCCAGCGGGTTGAGGCTGCAGTGGCCGGGAGCGTGCCACTGCACTCCAGTCTGGGTGACAAGAGTGAGACTCCAACTAAAAAATTTTTTTAAATTTTTAAAAAGTCATATGATCAATGGTGGGCTGGTAGGCAGGAGCACTGCTTTGCAGCTAAATAGGAATGTGACTGAAGACTGCTGCCATAATCAATGCCCGCATCCAGCTGTCACCGTGTGCTCATAAAGGAGGATTATGAGAGCTATAAAATCAGGCAGATTGGGTGGGTAATTGTCCTGCAGAGCACTGCTAAGGGAGAAATTGCATTGGCATCCTATATATTTTGCTTTCTTTCCTTCCAAACACACAAAGTGGAGAAGGCAGAGCTACCCTGAGGATTCATGAAAGGGAAAGATGGCCGGGCGCAGTGGCTTAGCCTGTAATCCCAGCACTTTGGGAGGCCAAGGCAAGAGGATTGCCTGAGCCCACGGGTTTGAGACCAGCCTGGGCAACTTGGTGAGACCTCGTCTCTACAGTAAATCTCAAAAACTAGCTGGATGTGGTGGCGTGCGTCTGTAGTTCCAGCTACTTGGAAGGCTGAGGCAGAAGGATCGCCTAAGTCTAGCGTGCCACTGCACTCCAGCCTGGGCGACAAGAGTGAAACTCCAACTCAAAAAAAAAAAAAAAAAAGAAAGTAAAGGAAAGATGAGTGTGTGTGTGTGTGTGTGTGTGTGTGTGTGTGTGTGTGTGTGAATGTGCATGTATGTTTTCAGAGAAGGGACAATAAGTAGTTGAGGATTGGGAAATACGAGGTCTCCTTTGGAGAGAGAGGGAACAAGTAACCTGGTGAAGGTTGGATTCACAGTTTAGCCAAGGTAGAAGGCAGGATTTGTCTGAGAGGAAGGCTGCCCAGGCATTATAAGTATGGATGCGAGGTAAGCCATATTCTCATGGCCTATTGAAAATGTGATCAGCCTAGCTGGGCTCGGTGGTTCAGCCTGTAATCCCGCGCCTTTGGGCGACCAAGGTGAGTAGATTGCCTGAGCCCGCGGGTTTGAGACCCGCCTCGGCAACTTGGCAAGACCTCATCTCTACAATAAATCAAAATGAGCTGGGCGTGGTAGCACGTGCCTGTAGTTCCAACTACTTGGAAGGCTGAGGTGGAAGGATCGCCGGAGCCCAGCAGGTCGAGGCTGCGGTGGCCGGGAGCGGCCACTGCACTCCAGTCTAGGTGACAGTGAGACTCCAACTCAAAAACAACAACAACAAAAAAAGAAAATGTGATCAGCCTGGCACAGTGACTCATGCCTATAATCCCACCACTTTGGGAGGCTGAGGCGAGAGGATTGCCTGAGCCCAGGGCTTCGAAACCAGCCAGGGCAATTTGGGGAGACCTCATTGCTACGATAAATAAAAAAAATTTAGCTGGGTGTGGTGGTACGCGCCTGTAGTTCCAGCGTTAAAAAAAAAGAAAGAAAAGAAAATGTGGTCACCTTTTTTAGGTATAGGCCATTCGGTATCCTTTGAAGAAAAATCTAGATTCTGGTTTCTTCTTTCTCAGCTTAAAAATCCTCATAGAACCGGGCTCGGTGGCTCAGCCTGTAATCCCACGCCTTTGGGAGGCTGAGGTGAGTGGATTGCCTGAGCCCGCGGGTTCGAGACCCGCCTGGACAGCGAGACCTCATCTCTACAATAAAATCAAAAAATCAGCCGGGCGTGGTAGCACATGCCTGTAATTATGGGTACTTGGAAGGCTGGGGCGGAAGGATCGCTGGAGCCCAGTAGGTCGAGGCTGTGGTGGCCGTGAGCGGCCACTGTACTCCAGTCTGGCGACAGAGTGAGACTCCAACTCAAAAAAAAAAAAAAAAATTCTTCATAGTCAACCTTCTTGACCTCCATCCTTTTAAATTCTGAATTCATTGTGCTAGGTTCATTTATGTGGTCTTTTATTTTTATTTTTATTTTGAGTTGGAGTCTCACTCTGTCCCCCAGGCTGGAGTGCAGTGGCATGCTTATGGTCACCACAGCCTCAACCTTATGGCTCCAGCAATCCTTCTGCCTCAGCCTTCCAAGTATCCAGAGCTACAGGCGTCCACTATCACACCCAGGTAATTTTTTATTTTATCACCTCGGCTTCCCAAAGTGCTGGGATTACAGGCTGAGCCACCTAACCCAGCCTGTAGAGAAATTTTTTTTTTTTTTTTTGAGTTGGAGTCTCACTCTGTCGCCCAATTGGAGTGCAATGGCATGTTCACAGCCACCACAGCCTTGATCTGCTGGGTTCAAGCAATCCTTCCACTTCAGTCTTCCAAGTAGCTGGAAAAACAGACGCGTACCACTACACCTCGCTAATTCTTGAATTTATTGTAGAGATGAGGTCTTACCAAGTTGCCCAGGCTGGTAGGTCCCCTGGGCTCAGACAGTCCTCTTGACTCAGCCTCTCAAAGTGATGGGATTACAGGTCTGAGCCACCGTGCCCAGCCTCGCCCCTGCATTTCTCTTGCTGCTATGTATTAGCTACCCCAAATTGAGTGGAGCTCTGCGGTTGTCCTTGTTATTTCTCAAAAGCATAGTTGGGTTGGCAAGGATGTAGAAAGATTGGAACCTTCATACACTACTGGTGGGAATGTAAAATGGTGTAGCTGCTTTGTAAAACATTCT